TATAGTTATAACAGACTTAACATAGATATTTTAAATTATTTAAATAATATAATAATAATATAAAAATTATTAAAAAACAATATAATATTTTTATTATATAATTAATATAATATATAAATATAATAATAATTAAAAATATTTTGCCAAATTGAAAAATTCTATAAAACGCCAAAGTTTAAAAAAAAAAAAAAAAAAAAAAAAAAAAATTCTATAAAGTAACTGATATGCTTAATGAAAAATTTCCAAAAATTTTGCTTAATTCAGTAAATAATTTTAATTTTTTTATTTCTGAAAAAGCAGAATTATATACTAAATTTTTTGAAGAATTTGATAAAGTTTGTGATAAATATAAGGACAAATTTTTAAATATTTTTGATAATTTTAAATATTTAGATATTTGTTCTGCTTATATTATAGAAATCAATTAGATTTATATTTTTTTAGCTGATTTATCTAATTCAGGCTAGGAAAATCCTACAGAAAAATCAAAAATTAGTAATATAAAAAGAAACAAATTAACTTTTATTTTACAAAAATTAGAAAAAAAAGCTATAGAAGCAAAATATTGTGAAAAACTATTAGAACCTAATAAAAATGCCATTGCAAATTATATAGGACAAACTGATTTTCCAGATTATTTTAAAATATCAGGTAAATTAATTACTAAATAATATTTTTTTAAACATAATATATTAATAAATTTATTTATTTTTAGGTCCATTTCACCTTGTTGATGAAAATAACTTAACTTTAATTAGAATATTTAATCTTGAAATTACAAATTACAGCTTTTAGATCTTGCTAATTTTTGTATTCAGCATTATTGGTCAAACCATACAAATGAAAAAAAAGTCATCAATCACCAAAATTCCGTAAGAATAATTATGAAGTTTTTGGTGTTTTAAAAACTTATGCTAAGACACCTTATAATACTGGTGCTTATTTATATACAAATCTTAACAATAATCACAAAAGGTAAATAATTTAATTATAATATATAAGGGTTTGGGCTCTATAGCTTAGTGGTTAAGCTGCCAAACCCCACAGTATAAGCTAAGGTCCACGATTCGATTCAGGCTAGAGGCAAAAGAAACTCTGTAACCTTATGATGTTAGGAGCTAATAATCAGATATGGAGCCCTGTGGAAAGCCCAAGTGAAGTACGAATCTAGAATAGGAATTCCTGGAAGGAGATCTAGCCATAGAGAGCTGGCGTTACGTGGAAGGT